CTCCCGCTGCATGTCCGTCGTCATTTTGCTCAGGCGCAGCTGGGGTGAAGTGCCCAGTTCGAGGAAAATGTGCTTCCGAGTACTTCTAGGGTAAGGGTCTGGTCTCCTGTCCCTGCCTTTTTGATGGGTTTTCGCGTACACACTCATGTCCATATTCTAATCACTGCACTTTCATTCCTCGTTGTGTTTCAGAAGATGTCTGGCAATCCTTTTCAGGAGCGTGCGAAAATGCAGTCCATGAGGCCGCCGCGGTCGATGGGACACCCGCAGCAACCATTCGCTCCCGCGGGAGGTGTGTATATGCAGCCGCGGAGGGGGCCTCCACCGGTTTCGATTTGGGCACGTCAGTGTGTCGACATGCGCATGGAGAGGGACCAAGCCATCGAGTCGGCGGAAAATATCGAGGTGATCGGGGTCGCGACAGACATCCCCGGCTTGAAGGCGTGCCTCGAGAAAGAACGAGCCATCCTTGCCCCATGGAGATGCGGTGAAGAGCCGGATGTAGTTTTGGATCGATGCCCCCAAAAGCAGACCATGATTGATTTGCGTATGCGTGATGACAAATGGGTTTATCTGATGAAAAGCTCGGACCTCATGGCCAAGCAAATAAGCGGTTCGCTGCAGCCTAACATTGTTGAGCACTTGTCGTCGCTCAAAAGGAAGCCTGATCAGAATAATAATCAGGCTGGGAGGCAGCGCGGCCGTCCCAGGAAAAAGTCGTTGTGGGAACGCCTCGAGGAGGAGAACTCAGACGACGACGAGCTTCCTCGTAGGGCCAAACGGGACTGGTCGCCACAACCATCCCAAGCTGAGTCGGCACCAAGTGCTGAGTTCCCGATCGACGCCCGTATCTTGTACCAGAGGGAGGACTTTCCTGATCAGAGAGGCGTCGTGACGGGCACCAAGATGTCTGGAAATCAACAGGTGTACATCGTGCGGGTCGGCGAGAAGTCGTCCGAGGTGAGCTGGGAGTTCCTCCGCGGCATGATTCAGCCTCCAGCGCCTATACCACGTCTTCCGGCATTTCACTTGACGACGCCAAATCCGAGGACTCGCAGCCGAGCGCGGTACGACGAGGAGGCCGGACCGGCTACCTTGGATTACCGTGATAAGAAATCGGCAGACGAGGATTCTTTCAAGGAGTGGATGGCGCAGGCAGCAACGACGCGGATGTCGGATTCCATCTGGTCCGCTTCGTGGAGCACTGAAGTGTCGCAGAACAAGGCGTCTGCGTGCACACTTCGTAGACTTCCTGACCGTCATTTGGATATGGATTGCTCTGTTGTGGCGGCTTTTGAGGCGATTGGTCTCTCTGTTGCAACTGGCCCGCACCACCTTGCGCGATTGGGCATCTGCAGCTCCTCATCTATGTCTGAACTTTGTGCTCATCCGTCAGTCGATCTGCTCAAGCAGCAATGTGAATCTGGGTTCCCAGACGCAGCGACGTTCGTAGATCATCTTGCGCGGTGCTGCAATGATATCATACATTTCGGCCGGTTGCATCCTGTTGTTGGTTTGAAGATAGCTAAGGCAGTGGAAAAATGCGCAGGGAAGTTTATGGAATGGGCTTTCTGGGCTCTGTATGCCGACAGCAAGTGTGTATCATGTAACAAGTCTATTATTAGTTGTATTTGCAACCGTGGGGGTTGTGAACCTGGCCATCAGGCAAAAAAACAATTGCCAGGCATTGTTTATGGTGCTGTAATTACCTCAGGGGTTCTCTGCTTCGTTGGTTTGTTTCCTGGTCCAATTTCAGGTTTCATAAAATTCTGGGGGGGTTTATGCATACCACATCTTCTTCTATTCCTTAATCCTCTTCTTCGTCCTCTACGCGCGTTGTATACATGTGGGCGTCTATCCATTCTCGACGTGCATACATAGGACAGATTATGAGGGGCATGCAGAAACGTTTTGCGGAGCACGCCGGCGGCATGGTGCATCTGGACCGGCCTGACAAGCAGCAGCCTGCTGATGGAGTTTTGAGGCGGTTGGGTGTGGCTAATTTTTGCATGATTCCGATTGCGACTGTTGACGGTACTTCCATTCACCACATGAGGATCGTTGGGCGCCGGTTCATCAACGTTTTCCATCCTACATTGAATTCCCTTTTTGTGTACAAGTGTTGTACAGCTGGTCTACATCACAACGGAGGGGGTCGTCAAATCCGCTCTTCGGCTGCCGCAAACCGCCGCCCCTTCAGCCGGAAATCTGATCGTACTCAGTGTTTCCCAGGTGTTACTCGCGACTTGGTTTGTTTTGAGGCTCGGGATGCGGTGTCTATTGCTTGTCGCCTGGGCATGATCCGGAATGGTTCTCAGCATTGCGTCGTGTCCGCACCGTCTGTAAGAAGGGCGGGCATCTGTTCGCGCAGCGAGTATTCCGGCACATTCAAAATTCCTTCCAGGGCAAGGAGAGGGCAGTTGCGAGACAGCGTTTCTCTGATATTTGTCGTTTGCCTGGCAACTTTGCTGCGTGGGATCCTCGCGCGAAGGTATTGCCATTACCTCGCGTCAATATGGTCGACGTCGTGCTTCATTTTATCAGTAGTCAAATATATCATGTTCTACCTCCTCAACATAGGGCTCATCTTAACATCAAAAGATCATCACCTCCATCCATATCGTCTTTCTTGTCCAACGTGGCTGGTTGGAGGGACAGCGCCCTAAGACGTTTACTTCTTTTTGTAATACGTGCAGTGGCGGCATGAGCGTGCAGAGTCGCACTGATCCATCGTCTTCGCCGTACAAACATCACATTATCAATACAGGTGGTGACCTCTGTAAACAACTTTATCGATGCGGTTGTGTTTGTCCTGTTTTTGACGCTGGTGGTTTGCGCGATTATGTGGATGGTGTCTATTATCGTCACAAATCGTTTGAAGGGGGTGGGTATCACACAACATGCTTTGACGCATCGGAAGGATATGTTTACTGGCACGTGCGTGGTGGCTCCCATTGACAAGAACGCATCCCCTTTGTGTTTAACTTGTCCTCGCGGGTGGCAGAACGCAATGTTCAATTTATTCATAGTGCGCGCGCCGGTTCAGTTCTGCATCCCTCGCCTCGTCTGGATTGACGAAGTTTCCGACCATCTTTCTTACGCAGGGGCCCGGATTAAGAAGATGGGGCGCCATGGGTTCGGAAGTTGCACGGGATGGCCAAAACATTCCAATATTCCTTTGAAGATGCGCTCTCTTGGCTCTCATTTCAGCCACAGGTGTAAATCATTATTCTGTCTTGGCTGCCGGGCATTGAATTTCTAATCAAGATTGTTTGGGGCAACACTTTTGGAACCAGCAGCGGGGCGACAATCGCGCGGAGGGTGGGGGACTTAAATTTGGAAGTTCAGGAGAGGGCTCGCCGCGGCTACGTTGTCTCCATTCATCGCGCCAAGAGGGACATCGACAAGTTGTTCGGCAACATTCCCAGGGACTTGGTCATCTCAGCTTTATCTTGGGCCATCCGGTCTTCCAAGGACATCGTCAGGCCAAGGCGCTCGTGCATCCAGATTCCTCGGGGCGCGAAGCCACCTCCATCGAAGAGTGCCTGTGTTTTCTGCCGCGCATTCCATCACCATGTTCGCAATCAGGCCAAAGGCGCAGATCTTGTTCCACGGCTTCACAACTCTCGCAATACATTTGCCCAGTATTACGTCATTCATGTGGGTGATATCGAAGCAGTGGTCCGGCTGGATCGGATGTCGGGTTTGCTGTTTTTTGGTAGCACGCTTGTGGGATTCAACAGCGGCATGACCCAAGGGACCCCGCCTAGCCCAGGTGTGTGTGTGTGCTCTCGCGTGCTGCTTCCTGGAGCACCAATGGGATGTTCAACGCCATATGTTTCTGCGTGGCGCTGTTTTGTGTAATCTCCGGTGGGTGGGCGATCTGTATATGTTTGTTTGTATTTTTCCAAGGCCACAGACAATGTGGATCATGATGCGGTTGTGGGAACGATTACTAACAGCATTGTGAACATATACGCACCACATTTCTCCATGAAGGTGGAGAATGACAGTGTTTTCGTTGGGCTTCAAGCTTTTGTTCGTGATATTCACACGGTAATAATTCAGCCCCATAGTATTTATGTGTTCGTCGTGGGGTTACATTTGGAACGACCTCGTTTTCAACATTGGTATCATAATCAATGGAGCAACATTGAGATTCCTGTTGACCAGAGCCAACTAATACATTACATTGACTTGTTTGTTGATAGCGATTGGGCTGTTGGACGCATTGTGAATCTGATTATTGAGTTCTGCTCTGTGGGTTTTCCATTGTCCGTCTGTTCTCATGCTCGTATGCGCGCTATCTCCAAGCACCCCCACATCTCTGATCTGGCAACTGTGATGCCCGCCGTCTCGGAGCGTCCCCATCAGTTGCGCGTCGATTGCAGGTCCGACGATTGATTGCGCGAGTCGACCGGCAGGTCGGACGCCTGAGGGTTGGATTGCGTTTTTGTCCACTGCGATGGTAAGCTCCAGCCTGCAGTTTCCCTTCCCTGTCCCTGCTTCTTCTTTCTCGCCCCTCTTCCGCCGCTCCCGCTGCATGTCCGTCGTCATTCTGCCCAGGCACAGCTGGGGTGAAGTGTGCCCAGTTCGAGGAAAAAGTGCTTCCGAGGAGGAGGAGGAAGAGGAGGAAAAGGAGGAGGACGGGGAGGTGGAGGAGGAGGAGGAGGAGGAGGAGGGAGGAAGAGGAGGACAATGAGGAGGAGGAGGAGGAGGAGGGTGAGGAGGAGGAGGAGGAGGAGGAGGAGGAGGAGGGGGAGGATAAGGAAGAGGAGAGGAGGAGGAGAGGAGGAGGAGGAGGAGGAGGAGGAGGTGGATGTGGAGGAGGAGGTGGAGGAGGAGGGAGGAAGAGGAGGAACAGGGAGGAGGAGGAGGAGGAGGAGGAGGAGGGAGGAGGAGGAGGAGGCAGGAGGAGGAGGAGGAAGAGGAGGAGGATGAGGAGGAGGAGGCTTTTGTTGACCATTTGTGGCCACCCGCCGTGACCACCTGTCCGGGAGGCGCAAGCGGTGCACGAGCGCCTGCGCTCGCTGAAGCTGGAGGGCGTCGCGTGCGCGCTGGTGTCCGCGGTGACGCAGGTCGCTGGCCGCAGCTCACGGGAGCCTTTTCGCTTTGTGTCCTCGGAGTGCTTCTCCAGGAATGCAAATTCAAATGAGGAAGATGTACCCATACCTCTACTCTCTCCTCGCTTTCCCCTTTTTAGGCCGCCTGGGGGGCCCTCGTCACCACCGCTGGAAATCCTAGTCAGAGTGCGCCCTGGGCGAGGTCTGGGGAACAGCGATATCGGTACCTTTTGGTTTCCCCACAAATGCCGCGAGCTAGCGGCTGGTCGTCGATGAGAAGGCGCCGGCCTCACGTGAGCCTTTTTGTTTTGTCCTCGGGGTGCCTTCCTGGGAGTGCAGTTCTAGCGTGAGCTAGCGCCTTGTCGCCGATGATCCAGCGCCGATCCAGCGTTGTTTCAGCACTTAGCGCCGATTTTCGCGTCGATTTGTTTGCGTCGATGTTCAGTGCCGATTCGCAGGGGCCAGCAGGATGGTTCAGGAGGCTCCCATGAGTTGCCGTAGAGCAGTGAAAAAGAAACAACGCTATAACCATACATTTATAGCGCTCCGCGTGGGTTTCTGGGGTCCGCGTTGGGCCCCCCTCGCGGCGCCTGCAATCCCCCTCCCTGGTGCGCGGAGCGCGCCAGGGAGGGGGGCCCAGCGCGGATCCGAAAAGTCCGCGCGGACTGTCAAAAGTTTGTGTGTATGCCGTCTCTTTGCTCCTCTAGAGCAGGCCCTCCTGGCGGCGAAGCTGGGGGGTTCCTTCGGCGGCTCCTGGGTGGCGGTGTTCTGCCCGCCGATGCTGCTGGAGTGCTGCTGGCTGGCGCGCGGGGGCTGCAGGGCGGGGCGGGCGTGGGCGGAGTGGGTCGCCGCGAGGCCTCAGGCGATGGATATATATATATATATATATATACATGTATCTGTATATGTATCTGAATATGTATATGTATATGCATATGCATATGTATATGTCTATGTCTATGTCTATGTAAATGTAAATGTAAATGTAATTGTACATGTATATGTATCTGTATCTGTATATGTAAATGTATGTGTATATGTATGTGTATATATACACATATTTGTTTAATCGCTTCGCTCATTCCGCCGGCCCTGGAGCGCTATTTAGGGTATCTTGGGGCCGTCTTGGGGGTTTCTTGGGGGCTTCTTGGGAGCGTCTTGGGGCTCCTTGGCGGCGTATTGGGCTCCCCTGGGGCCTCTTGGGGGGCTCTTGGTGGCCCCTTGGGGCGGGAGGGGGGGCAGTCGATTGCGCCCCCCCCCACGGAGGCCACGATCCTCGTGAGGGGTGGCGAAAAATAGCCCCCCCCCCTGGGGGATCGCCCGGGGATCAGCCGGGGATCGGCCGGGGTATTTTTCGTCCGGGGCCCCCCAGGGGCCGCCACGCGCGCGCGAACTAGAAATATTCTTAAGTAGTTGCTGGAGATCTTAGCACGCCTCTGGCCCATTGGGCCGATACATATTTATATACATACACGCATACATACATACATACATACATACATGCATGCATGCATGCATGTATGCATACATACATACATACATGTACATACACGTACATACATACATACATACATACATACATACATACATACATACACACATACATACATACATACATGCATGCATGCATACATACATACATACATACATACATACATACGTACATACATACATACATACATACGTACGTACATACATACATACATACACACACATACATACATACATACATACATACACACATACATACATACATACATACATGCATGCAAATATGTATGCATATGTACATATATATAGAGAGAGAGAGAGAGAGAAAACAATGTTCACACGCGCCCACACATGTATACACATATACAGATGTTGTAAACATGAATATGACTATGATCGTGCCTATGACTATTACTGTGAACATATATATATATATACAACCATACAACATGTACACGTAGCATTCCGCAGCGAGCAGATTCCGCATCGCGATTATTGCGCCTGGCATCCGTTCTCACATCTCGGCCCCCACTCCCCTCTCTCGGCCAGGGGCTGCGGGGCTACATCGCGATCGCTTCTCCCCGGGGCGGCGGAGGAGCAAAAAAAACGGGTTCGGTGGTGCCGACGTTCGCGCGCAGGCTGCCTGCGAAAGCTCGCGCGTATATGAGCGCCCGCTTCACCACGTGGTGTGCCCCGCTGGAGGGCCTGCGTAAGCCACCGCGTATGTCGCTACGTCATCTTGCGTACGGCCCCTTTCGTTTCGTTGCTTACTTGGCTCTTGATGCGAAGGCCACTCGCGCGAGCTAACACCACGCTGAGGTGATTTTTCTCATGGAGAAAATCCGCAACTGCGGATCAGAGTGAGGGGGCGGCGGGATCGTCGGCAGTCTGCGAAGCCCGCCGCAGGCGCCGATTTATTCGACGGAGCAGCGTGGATGGGTCGCGGGCGGGTCGCGGGCGGGTCGCGGGCGGGTCGCGGGCGGGTCGCGGGTGGGTCGCGGGTTGGGTCGCGGGGTGTTCGCGGGGTTCTGGCGGGTGGGTCGCGGGCGGTTTGCGGGCGGGTCGTGAGCGAGGACGACGACAACAACGCCACGCAACAACGCAACAAAACAACAACAATCCGCACCGCGAAGTCCGACTTCAGCCAGGCACCCAGGGACAGTGAATGACCGTTCGGCCCCCTCACCCTGTCGAAGACCGACAGGGGTTCCTGTTGCGCGTTTGAGGCAGCAGCTCGCCTGCCCAACAGCGGATTCAGCCGGTTTTGGACAGCATGTGCTGCGGAGCACAGTGCCCGTTCCCAGACCCCCGACGTCGCGATTTCGTTGCAACGTCGACCCCCAGAGTTCCTGGAGGGCCGCTGACCTAGATTTCTAGGTCAGGCCGAACTGTCCTAAAACATCTTAGGTCAATCTAATATGTTTTAGGTGGAACCTAATATTCTAGGTCGGCGCACCTGCGCATTCGATCCGACCGCTTGGGCGATCGGGTTGATGCTATTTCCGTGCAAATACATGCGCACCTAGACATACAGATGCACATACATAAACATGTGCACTCGCATTTACACTTACAGTTATGGTTACATGTACTTAGACCTGTTACAACTTGCGGTTTGCAAGCACAGTAATAGCTGGACGACACTTACATGCACTGTTACATTTACATGTGCATGTACGCATCGATGCGCGCGTGCATACTCATTTATTGTGCATACACATACACATTTACATATACGTTTACAAATGCATAAAGCACGGAACACAAATAACCATACCGATATACGCACACACGCGTATGTATGTTCATAGCGTGGCATGGTGCGGCATTGCATAGCCTAGCATTGCATTGGGGGTACCTCGCGCGCCTTGGGCCCGATCCCAGAAACATTCGGGTCGGAGGATTGCTCGCAAGCCACGTTGCCCGAAGGGCCAGCGAGTGCCTTGGGCCCGATCGCAAAGGCGTTCGGGTCGGATGACAACCCATGCGTCGTATGGCCCGATTCGTGTCAGCAAAAAGATCTCACGTGCTGTCGGCCACGCGCCGCGCGGATTGGTCGTTCAAGCTGTCGGTTCGGGGAATGCGTCTAGCGTCGCATTGCACCACATTGCGTAGCATTGCGTTGCATTGCGTTGCATAGCACTGCACAGCTTGACACCGCTAGGTTAAGCATAGGATTGCTACGCATGGCTTCGCATCCTCAGCGTGCTGTTCCGTCGTCTCAGTGTTCCTCTGATGGAACTGCCTTCGGTCCTTTCCCTGATTAGGCTTGCCGCACTCCGTACTTAGCCGTCTGGCTGCTCGGGAGAACGCGTGCATCTTTGCAGATATCCGAAGACTGCAGACTACACTTCAACTGGTCCACGAGATGGCACCGAAGGGAGTGAAGGGAGTGCAGGGCAAGTTCGCCAAGGCCAAGGCCAAGGCGGCGATGAATAAGAAGCCTGCGGCAGCACCACCGATTCGCCAGAGGCCTTCGGCAGCGGACGTCAGCGAGTTGGAGGGTCCCGTGCCCACCCCTGCCGACAGGCGGAAGTTCATGCAGATCGTGAAAGCAGGAGGTGCCCACCAAGCGATCTTGGACGACATCAGGAACATCCAGGATCTCGGATACGGCAAGAACAAAATGTCCAGACTGAACAAAAAGATCAGCGCTTGGGTCGAGCAGGGCTTCGACCATCCCACCTTCCAGGACACCATCCAGTACAGTGAGAGCAAGAAGAGGGCGGAGCGTAACAAGGCGATGCCCTGGAGCATCTTGAAGGCGAAGCTGTTCCACAACTGCGAGGAGGCAGCCATCGCGGCGCTCGAGGAGGGCGACGTGGTGGCCGTCACCAACCCGAAGGACCCTGACGGCAAGCCCTGGTACAGGTACGACGACATCATCGTGGAGCACGGCAAGGACATGCGCCGCTCCCGCGGCTTGACGGTAGCAGGCAACGTGTCTGGCGACGTATCGGGGTTCCTGCTCAATATGGAGAGCTTCTTCGAGAGCATCGAGGACGGCTACGACCTGAGCATCACTGACCCACACGTCTCGAAGAAAACCGCCGCCATCACCGACTGCTTGCCTGGCGCCGACGACGACCCAATGACCACAGCGCTCAAGAAGGTGAAGATCGCATCGGGCAACCTGTCGAAGCTCCGCCTCAAGGTCCTCGAGTGCACGGGCAGCACGCACGGCAGCAAGCACGACGCATTCGTCAAGGCGCACTTGAGCGACAAGGAGTCTGTGATTCAGGCTCGGCGGCAAAACAGACTGCAGCTTAGAAGCAGCCATACTATTACGCATACAGCATACACATTTGCATACATAAGCTCACATGTATTCGAATATGGTTATCTATACACAGCTACACGTGCACATTTGTGAGACACCACACAGAATAAAACACAATAACAAAACATGGCTATGCAAACCAATTGCCCCCCCCCAGCCCGCCCCCCCCAAAAAAACGGGAGTACCGGTACAATCCTCCAAATTAATCTGCCCGAGGGGGTGGAAGGGGGGTCGGAGGGAGGGGAGGGGGAGGAGGAAAGGACACGGGGAGGGGGAGGGGGAGGGAGGGGGAGGGGGGAGGACGGGGGACAGGAGCGCCCCCCCTGGAGGCAATCCTGGCGAAGTACGACACCCTCCTGCGCACCAAGTCCCTTCCAGGGGCCACATCGGCCACGACGCCTGCCCTGATCAAGCAGGCCATCGCGATCGACAGCAAACTGTGCCAGCAGATCGCGAGTGCGATCCAGGTGGCCAAGACGATGGAGGAGTAGGCTATTTGGGGATGGCGGCTCTTTCTCGTTCGACCGACGTGCCAGTCGAAACTGAGCGCGATCCGACGATCCCAGGGTTCGAACTTCGATGATCCAAGGGGTCGAACTTCGACGATCCCAGGGTTCGAACTTCGACGATCCCAGGGTTCGAACTTCGACGATCCCAGAGTTCGAACTTCAACGATCCCACCCAGGGTTCGCATTTCGACGATCCTAAGAGTCGAACTGCGACGATTCCAAGGTTCGGACTTCGACGATCTGATTTAAATGCGTCGGGCCTCGCAGCTCGGCGCCCTCCGTGTGCGCATGGATACTTGCGCAATACCCTTCGCTGCACCGCAGTGCCACCTGTAGAAATCGAGCTAAAGAAGGGCGACGAAGAGGAGGGAGGAGAGACGTTCCAAACGGGCCATGGGCCATGGATGAAAGGAAGGAGTTGGGAGGAGGAGGAGAAGGAGGAGGAGGAGTTCACGCGATCCAAGGGTGGAAGGAATGGAAGGAAGGATGAGAATGAGGAGGATGTCACAAGCTTGGGTTTAGGATGGGAGGAGGCGGGAGAAGTAGGAGGAGGAGGAAGAGGAGGAGGAGGAGGTCACATGA